CTAGGCAACTCTTTGTTTGCTAGCTTTTTAAATTAGAAAGGTTACCACTGCCTTTAGATCCTGAGTCAAGCTCTGGCTGGTGTGGCTCAGTGGACTAAGCACTGGCCTGCAGACTGAAAATTTCCTGGTTTGATTCCCTGTCAGGGCACATGCCTGGGTTGCAGGCCAGGTCCTCTGCTGGGGGCATGCAAGAGGCTACTGATTGATGTTTCTCTCCTCCCTCCTTTCTCCCTTTCTAAAAATAAAAATAAATAAAACCTAAAGAATCCTGAGATGTGTGTGTGTGTGTGTGTGTGTGTGAGAGAGAGAGAGAGAGAGAGAGAGAGAGAGAGAGAGAGAGAGAGAGAGAGAGAGAGAGAGAGAGAGAGAGGGAGAGGGAGAGGGAGAGAGGGAGAGGGAGAGGGAGAGGGAGAAAGAGGGAGGATATAGGAATATGGGGTATATGGCCTGAGCAATCTGTGGAACAATGGTGTCACTTTAAGTGGAGAAACCTGGGGGAAGCTTTGGAGGGGTGCAGAAATCAAGAGTTGTGTTTTGAACACACTAAACTTGAAATTACAATAAAATAATTAATATCGATTAGGTGTTAACTCTGTACTAGGTAGTGGGCCCTGGTGTTGGGAACCGCCTTGCCAGGTTTCAGAAGCTGTAACCCCCCTACGGCTAAGGCTGAGTAAGCGACCTTTGGACCATAAGCCACTAAGGAGACAAAGCTTATCTCCCTAGAAGGAGCGCTGCTTCTGCTCCTTTTCCTTCACCCTGCCTGGCCCCCAATGCTTGGTCGGTTAGCCAATGACGGTAAGATTCCTCAAGGGAGGAATGACCAAAGACAGGCATGATCACAGGGAGGCCCCAGGGAAGGACTTGGGGGACTACAGCAAAAGGGGGTGATGGACCCTCATCCCTTGGCTTTGACATAGCCTGAGTCCTCATTATGTTTGCAAGAACTCCCGTCATCTCTTGGATGCCTTACTTCCGCTGCCTGACTTAAGCCTGAAACAGTGATAGGAGGGCAGTGCAGCCCTGTGCTGGAAAGGGTGGGTTCCCTGGGTGATCAGGTCTGAGAAAGAATATATAAAATCCCATGAAACCTGCTTTGCTAAGAATGCTCTCAATTAAACGATAAGGGTCCAACAGGAAATGAGTTTGTTTCCCAAAGTTTTGTAGCCCTTTAGCTAACAGACTCTGACTCAGAATAAGCCCTCATAGTTCTTTGTATACTATCTATTGTTTGATCCTTACTGCCTGACAATGATTAATGAGCTTTACCTATATTCCTGTGCAAATTCAAGGCAAGGGTTGGGGCCCTTTCCCCTTGAGAGAGTAGCCGTGCCGTCCCTTTTCCTCCACAGGACTTGGTAGTCCATGTGAATTTGTCTCGTATCTCATCCATAACGCCGCAGATACTGTGGGCCGGTGTCCGTGTCACCCTGGCCGGTAGAGTACTCCTACTGCATCATCTTGTTTAAGGAATGGACATACCACCCTGCCACATCAATAAGATCTTCCCTGGGGTTTTTATTGGAATTACCAGGGCAGATAGTTTTTTTGCTTAGAGGCTGCTAGCTATGAGGTGCTTTAGGGGATCATTTTGTCTACCACATGGGAAGATCCTGTCTTTAAAAATAAAAACAATGGACAAGAAACACAGAACGATGAAGAGAGATGTGGAGAGATGGAAAGAGAAAGTTCTAACTAAATAATATTAGTATCTGGATCTGGTCATGTTTAAAGCTAGACGCATTCCCAAACTTCTTAGCTACTGAAGCCAATAAATTCTACTTTAGTTTAAGCTAGTTCAAGTTTAGTTTCTATTCCTTGCAACTAAGAGTCCCAACTAATTCACATATCTAGAATAGCATACACTTATAAATAAAATTTTATTTTTTGACAGGAGAAATTCTTAATATTCAAATATTCTAGTTATTTTATCTTTAAAAAAACCCTATCTTTCTGATTTGTTTAAATTACTTCTACTTAAGCCCTGGTGGTGTAGCTCAATGGACTGAGTATGGATCTGCAAACCAAAGGGTTGCTGATTTGGTTCCCAGTCTAGGGAATATGCCTGGGTTGCAGGCCAGGTTCTCATTAGGGGGCACTCGAGAGGCAGCCACACATTGATGTTTCTCTCCCTCTCTTTCTCCCTCCCTTCCCTGCTATCTAAAATAAATAAATAAAATCTAAAAAAATCTAATAAAAAATTAAATTACTTCTACTTAAGCCTTTACTCTGGCCTGTCTGAAGACAAACTGTGAAGATTACTTTAACGTTACTTTACTGTTGCACTACTTTACTAAAAGCCTACTTTGTGTAAATAAGCAACAGCCCGTTAAGCTGGGGAACTTGACATATTGGCATTAAGCTGCCTCAAAATCAAAGCCATAGAAATCTTTGCCTAGTTTTTCCTGTTGATTTGAACTTACTTTAATAAGAGCATGCAAACTGTTCAATAGCATTTTGAATTTGAAAAAGAGATCCACTCAATTGACATGACTTATGATTTAAAGGGGATTATCAATAATTAAAGGTAAGTTTCCCTCAATCTTGACCTGAAATTCAATGGATGTAGCACAAGGAAATTAATTGGTTCAGTTATCATCAGAGCTGATGTTGGATGACACTTTTAATAGAAACACTGGTAAATGGGTTCTGTGCTAGAAAAGAGTGTGTTAGTGCTCAAAGGGTCTTGACAGTTTAATGTGTCAAAGGGAACAACTGGATAAACTTTCTGTTGGTTTGTATTTGGAAGGAAATGCTATATATGCCTCTATTTTAAAGATATAATAAAATATAAAGAAAGACTAGACACGTTCAAAGTGATAGATCGAATATTGCCAGGGGACAAAAATAACAGAATCCCTCTGATACTTCAGTTTCAAAGAGGGGAGGAGAGAGTAAAAATTTAAACTGTAAATGGTTACTGACCATGTTTCTGACTTTACATCAGTTACAGATCTTGACCTTTTATTTATTTATTAAATTTTATTTATGCATTTTTAGAGAGAGGGAAGGGAGGGCAAAAGTGGGGGAGAGAAGTATCAGTGTGTAAGTTGCCTCTCACATGCCCTCCACAGGCAAAACCCAGGCATGTGTTCTGACTGGGAATGAAAACCTTTCTGAGGGTCTTGGGCCCTCAATGAGAATCTGATATAAACATGGATCTGCTCCCCAGAAAAATCCATACATTTTTGAACATACTAATAAACGTATCACTATATCCCCTAAAGTCCATTAATTAAAGAAAGCTTTATTATAAGAAATTCACTGAGTACTACCACATAAAAATTATAAGAACCAAAACTGAGAGAATTACTGGTTATCCCTTTTCTTTGATGCAAAATGAATAAAACTTTTAAAATGTGTCATTCCATATTAAGGCAAAGAAATTCTTTTCCTTCTGAATGTTCTCTTTAAATGTCTATTTCACATACATAGTTTGAGTTCAGTTTTTGGACTGACCTTTTCATATTTATATAAAGCACCCAGATAAACTTCATTAAAACCATAAGAAACACAGCTTAGCTAATGAATTATTCTATTTCAATTTTTTTTCTAGCTTGGAATGCCATTTCTAAGGCTTTCATGCCAAAGGGAGTGAAGTCATTAAGATGAATTGATAATACTGTAGTACGAGCATTTTCCTGTTGTCTTTTAAAAAAACTAGATCTTTTGGAACTTAAATTAATTCTTTAATGAAAAAGTAGAAGGCTGAAGTACAACAGCAGAGAAATCTCTGAGGAAGTGGGAAACTGAAGTTTCACAAATCATTTTCTATAGCTTTGAAAAAATCTTAAAAAAAAAAGTACCAAACCCTTTAATAAGTAGTAATTTGGTTATGTTAACATTTTTAAAAACTGGCTATCTTGTTATATATTCCGAAGCAAATAAATAGGACAGTTAGAATAATATATTCCTTGATTATGCTGGCAAAGTGGACAAATTATAAAAGGACAGAAAATAAAAGGTTTTCCTAAAAAACTTATAAATACTGTTATAATTCAATTTGATACTTGGCTTGCATAACAGTATAAGAAAGATAAACAGAAGGAAATGTCAAAGACTAGAGAAAGGATTTGGATTCCTTACCTGTTACCAGTGTTTAAATGGACTAGAAATACAAATGATTAGGCAAGTAGGCACAAAAGTCTGGAGAAGTAATAAAAATGATTATTTATAGAAAAAGCAAGATTTTTAAAACACTCATTTTTAAAATTGTTCTTTAAAAATGGAGAACAAGCCAACTTAACAACAATCTCAATAAGCATCATGAGGCAATACTGCTAGTTTAAAAGGATCTAATATTAGTACTAGTGGATTCTGATTTTTAAAAAATTCTTTAGAGCCCTGGTTAGTGGACAGAGCACTGGCCTGGGGAGTAAAAGGCTGTCATTTCAATTTCCAGTCAGGGCATATGCCTGGGTTGCAGGCCAGGTCCCCAGTACCGGGAGCATGAGAGGCAACCACATATTGATGTTTCCCTCCCTCTCTACCTAAAAACAAACAAACAAATACATAAAATCTTAAAAAATAAAAAAAATAGAAAATTCTTTAGAGAACAGTCCACAGAAGTAAACTCTCTCACTGTGACAGACCAGTATGACTCTTATTGAACTATGACTCTTTTAAGACACATTTTCAATTAACAAAAGGAGTTGAGCTTTTTTTTGGAGGAAGCTGGGAGAACAAAAGAAATACCAGAAATGATATAAAAAAAGATTTCAGGCTTCATGTGTTAAGGATTAGTAAAAAAAAAAAAAAAGGGATAAATTCACCTTTTCTTCATACGGAACTATTAATATTAAATATATTTGAAAATTCAAACTAATGATGCTGACATTATAAAAAAAACTGCATTAAGACATCTTTATTGAGTGTTGAAATAAAACCTGACATTAGCATAGGTACATGTGGACTTACTTACATATGACATACTTCTCTTCAGTAATACATTGTTAATGTAGAAGGACAGAGTTACAGGGTCAATGTGAGCATATACATACCACAGGCTGTTTTGTGATGTCCACCAAATCCTTAAGGTTATAATACTGATGTTTCTCAAAAGCCGAAAATAGCATGTCTAAAACATACTGCTTATCAGCTCGAGCTCGTTTTCCATCTTCTTTCTTTTTCCTTTCATATTCAATCTATGTGCAAAAAGCAAAAGAAATAAAAGCATCAATTCAATATGCTCACTCTGAAACACGTTCATTTTTTTATCAGCCATCCAAATAACTACTAGATGTTAAGCTGCAAGATAGCAGGTTAAAGAGCAGTGGTTCAGAACCTGGGGTCCTCATTGCTCCCACAGTTTGTCAGATCTTTAAGCCTCTAAGAAGTATTAGATTTGTATTAATGCCAATCCGTAAACCATTTTCATTATTTCCTAAATTTAGCTTTATGACTTCCCTGAATTGTTTCTTCTCCAATTTAAATGAAGTGAGCAATGGCACTAAGGGAATGTATCAACTTAGTTCTAGTGTTACCATCCAGGGACTTGTTCATTTGTAAAAAATTATCTTTTTATTGAAAACATGCAAACTTTCAGTTGATTAAGCTTTTAATTTTATTAGAAACATTTCATTTTGATATGGCATCAGGAACTTGTTAGAAGAAATATATATTGTGACAGCACAGATGGAAGTGGAGAGCATTATGCTAAGTGAAATAAGCCAGGCAGCGAAGACAAATACCATATGATCCCACCTATAAGTGGGACCTAATGAACAAAACAAACAAATGGGCAAAACAGAACCAGAAGCATGAAAACAAGGAACAAACTGACAGGGACCAGGGAGGAGGGGGGTGAGGTATAAGGGAGGAAAGGGGAAGGGCCTAGTTAAAGAACTGGTTAGTATAAATGACCCATGGACATGGACAACGGGGTGGGGATTGACTATGGGAATTGGAGGGCAGGCAGGGGAGAGCAATAGGGTAAAATTGGGACAACTGTAATAGAACAACAATGAAAAATAAAAATTATAAATGTTAAAAAATAAATTGCAGCAGCCCACCTGGTAAAATAAAGCATCAGAAAGAGACAGCTACCAGGGAACAATCTCTATAACTATAATCTAGGGGCTGCCTTTAAAAGTAATGAAATGCATTTCAAAACTTACAATATATTATTGCATAAATTCCAGCTTCATATAGTTAAACTCACTCTATTTATTTATAACAATTGTTATATAAAAAATAAAACTTTCTACTGATGCTAAGATTAAAAATTTATCTTATATATTTCAAAATTTTATTTATTCACTTTTTTTCACCTGAGGATATGTTTATTGATTTTAGACAGAGTAGAAATGGGGTGTGTGTGTGGGGGGGAGAGAAACACTGATCAGTTGCCTCCCATACATACTGACCAGGGATTGAACCTGCAACTTTTTGGTGTACAGGAGATGATGCTCCAACCAACCAAGTCACTCAGCCAGGGCTATCTTCTTGTTACTCAGAACTTTCAAATTAGTGGCAAGAGGTAACTTTGACAACAAAAAATATCTGCCTTTTAATTAAACAAAATCAGAAACTAGACAAGGAAAAGGTCTAACAAACATCTTTATTTTTTTTTGATATGTAGACCTTGGGAGTAAAATTCAAAATCTATTAATCTCAGGGGGTAGTAGGATGAGACTGATGGTGTTTATTAAATGTACAAACTTGCAATACGTAGCAAACAAGCCACAGAGCTCTAGATACAGTATAATATATATAGATAGTACTGTACTATAATTATGTAACATGCATCAAAAACACATATTCTTTAAATTTGCAGTGTTATATGTCAAATTTATTCAATTAAAAATCCATTTATTTACGTATTTATTTATTTACCTTACTTAAGAACATTTTTTTCTTTTTCTTTTTTTTCTAAAAGATTTTATTTACTTATTTTTAGAGAAGGGAAGGGAGGGAGAAAGAGGAGAGAAACATCAATGTGTGGTTGCCTCTCATGTGCCCCCTACTAAGGGCCTAGCTCATAATCCAGGCATGTGCCCTGACTGGGAATTGAACCAGCAACCCTTTGGTTTGCAGTTGGCATTCAATCCACTGAGCCACACCAGCCAGGGCCAAGGACATTTTTTCACTGGTTTGAGAGAGAGAGGAAAAGACGAGAGAGAATTATCAATGTAAGAGAGAACCACTGATTGGTTGCCTCCTGTCCCTACCCGGACCAGGGATGGAACCAGCAACCTAAGGGTATGTCCTGACTAGGAATTAAACTTGTAATCTTTTGGTTACTGGATAACGCTCCAACCAACTGAGCCACACCTTCCAGGGCTCCATTCATCTCTTTAAAATATTGAACAGGGACTCTGGGCTTTGAATTGCACTAAGACACAGGGCAAACAAGACAGCCTCTTGTTAACTGTATCCTGTTTTTAGGGCTCATGTATTAAAATGTTTACAGAGGACCTTGAGCATTATAAATGTGGTAATAGATCACAGAACTACCTAGGACAAGATCATGACACTGGAAAAAATGCACATGCATGACACAGATTGTATTGTTGGGAAAGAATGAAATCCGGCCAGTCTCAACAGTTTCTGGGTGGAAAGAGCATGAAAGAAAACAACTATGAGCAGCTAAAACAATTTATTACTAGAAGAGCTGGAAGCAAAACTAGACAGGGGAGATATCAGAGAAACCCATGACCAAGGAGATAGACCAAGTCTTCCCAGTGTGGGGAAGATAGAGAAACAGATGAAAAAATGCATTTAAGGACAGGGCAGAAGTACGGTCTATCCCAATTCAGCAAGAAAGAGGGCTGCAAGAGGGCAAAGACCAAATGGGATGGATTCAAGGTCCATTCAAGAAAGACTTTTCTTCTCTAGGATTAAAGGATAGAACTGTGATGGAGAAAGAAAGCACGACAGGCAGGACAAAACCCATAAATTCAACAGAGGGGTCTTTGGATTAAAAAAAGAAATGATATCATGGAATGCCTTAAGGGATTAATATTTTAAGTCTTGCTTTACTGACTAAAATATCTCTATTTTCCCTGGTTACAAATGTACTTAGTTTACATCCTGAAATCCCCTTCCACCACTGCACTGCCCTTGAACAGGTTTGTTTTGTATTGTGATGTGATGGACAGTCTAGAAAGGGGGCCTGCTAAAAAAGTATGAACAAATGTGGACCAGGGAATAAAACTGTTATAACCCTTTATTCTGGTCAAGTGTGGAATAAGAAAAACAACTTGGGATCTAGAAAAGAGGGAGAAAGAATCAGACTAAGGAGGGGTGGGAAAAGCCTATTTCTTCCCCACAAGTTTCAATGAGACGTGGGGTTTCATTTAGCCAAAGGCCACTGGTTCTCAAGAAAAACAACACAGAGGAAGTTGGGACCTAGCAAAAGACCAATGTTAGTTTTGGTATTCTCTGAATGTAGGCACTTTTGCAAGATATTCTTCTGTCTGCCCTCCCTTCCCAGCTTTAATTTATGCTGAAAGAAGACAGACAAAGTTAAATTCAGGAAACAGGAAAAAGAAATGATGGTATATTGAGCTTCCACCCTAAGAAGTCACTCTTCTACATAAAATGACTAGAGAAGCTAGGAAGATTAATATAGAAAAATGTAAAAAAAAATCCCTGCTGATAAGACAAGATGGCCCACTTCAGAAAGGGCTCATACTCTAGATGACAGCAGAGAGAACAAAGATAAAATAAGTTAGAAAGGCCCTAGAGGTTGTGGCTTTTTTGGTTGGGTGTTGTCCTGCAAACCAAAAGGTTGCAGGTTCCATTCTATTCAGGGCACATGTCTGTAGGGTCCTCCTGGTCAGGGGATGCACAAAAGGCAACCAATTGATGTTTTTTTCTCTCATATTGATGTTTCTCTCCCTCTCTTCCTCCCTTCCCCTCTCTCTAAAGTCAATAAGCATGTGCTTGGGTGAGGATAAAAAAATGTCAAAATAAGTTAAGAAAAAACATAAAAATCAAAACTGAAAGGATAAGATTAAGGGTCAGTTCAAGTTGTGATTAGCAAAGTTTATGAGTAGTGAGAAAAGTATCAAATTCTTTTTCTCTGATTCTTTTTCTTTTTTTAATCTTGGTTTACATACTTCAGTCTCAAAAATACTGCCTGAACATTGGTGCTTTCCTACTTTAAATTAGAAAAAACAGCTCAATATCTGGAGGCAATGCAACCTAACTTTACTTTGACCAATGACCATAAAACACTTAAAAGTATAACCTGAAAACCCAGACATAGAAAATAATAACAGCAGTGACAAAAATGGAAGTATTCCTCACTAGAGAAATTTAAGTACTAGAAATTTAACCTTACACTTATTTAACAACAAAATATAAAGTGGAGCATCTCTTTAATCCATTCAGGGCCCACACCATATGATAACCTATAAAAAACTTTTAAAACAAAATATTTGGCCCTGACCAGTGTGGCTCAGTTGGTTGGGTGCCATCTCACAAAATGAAAGGTCACTGGTTTGATTCCCAAGGTCAGGGCACACACCTGGATTGCAAATAGGTCCTGGTAAGGGTGCATGTGAGGGGCAATGGATCCATCAATGTTTTGCTCTCACATAAATGTTTCTCTTCCTCTCTCCCTCCTTTCCTCTCTTTCTAAAAGATAAATAAATAAAATCTTAAAAAAAAAACACAAAAAAACAAAATTTAGCTATAGCATTATTTAAATCTTTTTTGATAATTTCCAAGACAGGCTCATAATCCAAATTCTGCTCTGTGGAATCAGGTACTTCTAATATAAATATGTAATTACAGAAAGGATTTTAATGATCTCTGTAGTCATTAAATTACTAATAATTTTATACTTGGGACAAAACTGATGTTCCTGAGGTAATTTTTCATTTTAAAATGAAATGGTATAGAAATGATAATCTTAATATTGTACTTATACTTTGTACAACAAATAAAATTAATTCTATACATAAAATGCAATGATATGAACTAGTCTATTTAGAAGACTACAGTGTTGAGATAATGTTATTTCTTCTTTTATTTAGCTCTTTTCCCTTTGGGCATTTTGTTTTGCACTGGTGCACTGGCATACTGGCATTAAAGAAAATGATATGCAGCCCTGCCTGGTGTGGCTCAGTGGATAGAGTGTTGGCCTGCAGAGCTAAAGGTTGCCAGTTCGATTCCTGGTCAGGGCACATGCGTGAGT